TGAAGTTTAACAGGTTTGTTGGAAAAACCTTTCTTTCTTCAGGGCATAAAAGCGGGGTTGCTGTTGTGCTACAGTCATGCCAAAGGGCTTTGCTGGCATTACATACATAAATGAAGATTTGGGATGAATTTTACTCTTTGGGTTAGTGTTGCTGTTTCTTACTTTGTACATTGTCCTTGTACATTAAGTCTACATTGTACACTTAATCATCAAACAGAATAACTAAAAGACTATCTGACTCTTATTTACAAGTGAAGAGCAGAGTTGTAGGAACTTTTGTGGGTTTGGCCAAAAGGAACGTTTGTCTTTAATGTTCAACATTAAAAATGACACGTTAAGGAATCTTTTAATTTTTGCTGGTTTGAGAAACGAGGCAAACAGAAAAAAAATCCCAATGAAATCAACTGCCAAAAAATAAGCTGACCATGGATTAAATTCAATAGTACAGGAGAATTAACCTTCCAAACTCCATTTGAAAAATGTTTCTCCCATTCAAGGCAGAGCTGGATTGCTTGTGGTTATACTTTATTATGTAACCTTGTCTGGGAAATTGAGATTTGGGGGGGGGGTCCCATTGAAATAACTGTTAAAAATTCCTTAGAAAACAGCACGGTTGCTGTGGGAGAGCACTTGCAGGTGTCTGTCCCTGCTCACCAGCTGGAGCAAGAGCACTGGGGCCGGCACTTTCATTTAAACACTGCAACATTTAATATTTCTCTGATGTCCTTCTGATCCTTTCTCTTGAATGAAAGAAAACACAGAAGACATTCAGTGATGTTCCAAAGTGCACATTTTTGGCAGCAAGGAGCTTTCTCCAGATAGCTGCCTGGGAGTTTACAAATCTGTCACATCCTCATCCATTTTGTGAACCTTCCTTGAGGCTGCACCTGCCTCCCAGATACAGACGGGAAGAGAGAGGCTGTAGATTTGTGATCCATTTGCTGATGCTTCATTAGAGCCGAAAGCAAACAGCCACATGTTAATGGGCTCAGCACAACAGCTTGGGTGGCAAAACATCCTGTTGCTTGTTGGGAGGGAGCACTGGGTGAGTCAGTCGTGCTTTTGTATTTTCCCCAACCTGGACTACGGGGATGTTTTTTTTTCCTGAGTGAAGCGTAACTTTCTCCAAGTTATTCTTGCTGAGAAGACAGGACAAATAGTCAAGTAATGGAGACTGAGTCACTGAGTGGAGAAGGATTCCTGGCGCTGCTGTGTTTATCCTGCACTGGAGCCCACAGTGGAATAAAGAGGGCAGCAGCGAGTCACGATCCTGCAGGACCGGGCGGGAGGGAGCTGCTGTGCAGGTAACACAGCAGAAACATCTTCGGAAAGGCTTGAGTGTGAATTGTGCTAAAAACAGTGTGCCGGTATTCATAAAGCACATGTTTACTGGTGAAATGTGGGCCACAGTAACTCTCTGATCTGCAAAATTATCCAAGTGTTTGTCTACAAACACGAAGGCTTTTTTTATTACTAATATTTGGCAGGTTGTCCACTGTCGTGTTAGATTCAGGCATAGAAACTGAATTAAGGCTTACTACGGGATTTTGCAAGTGAATTGATTATTATTGCAGCTCAGCAGCTCTGGAAATGCACTGAATTCTTTTAAGAATGACATGGTCTGTCCCTGCCTGTTCCTATCTGCAGGACAGTTTTGTCACTGGCTACTCCAGGCTCGCTGGGTGACGAGACTGTCACAGGAAGATTGCAGCTCCTTTGGTTTTAAAGTTCCCCTAGTCCCAGATACAACCAGTTTGATGTGAGCAGCCCTTACTGATGGAGCTGAATGCTCTGAAAGGATGGGGGGCATGGAAAGGCTCATTTCTTGGTAGCAGCTTTTAGTCAGCCAGAAACACAAAACCAGACTGGTGGAGTCTGGATTTGGATCCTCGGATGCAGATGCTTTTATAGCCCCTCTGGCTTCAGTCAGACCTACCACATAGGTACAGATCTGTGAGGAATCAACTACTCGTGTTCTCCTTGCCACAGTTTGGGAAGGGATCTCCTGACCAACTGTGTCCCTATGGGCTTTATTAAGAAACACCTGAACATAAGTATTTACATCCATAAAACACATATGTATGCTCTAAAACAGAAATGCTCACTAGTTCTATTTGAAGGCATCCCTTCAAGGCTGGCAGTGATGTGGACGTAGAGCACCAACTATTTTTTACAAATTCTAGTACCTGCTTCTGGTGGGAATAGAATAGAGACAGCCCAGAAAGACTTCAGGGTAAGTCGTGAATGCTTCCAAATGTAGTTCATGATGTAGCCTCAGAGAGGCAAAGGTTGCTTTACAGATACAGAAGGCATCTGTACAACTGCAAGGCATTTCTTCACTAACAAAGAATTAGTTATTTGCAAATAACTGTTGGGTTTTATCAGCTCTTCTCCCTTTTTCATGGCAGGAACAATTTGCTAAAATAGTTTAAATAGTTTGAGGCAGCCTAATGCTTTACAACAAGTATTTGTGATACTCTGCTGTGCAGTCCATCTTCACAGCAATTCACAACAATACATTTCGTTCCTTCCCCTGCTTGTTCCTGCTCAAGTCTCCTGATAAAAGCCTGAGTTTATCTGGGAAGGTACCAATATATGTCTCTTTCACACCTAGCTAAATAATTTTTCACATGGCTTCTTTAAAAGCCTTTGGCTTTATCAGTGGAAAAAATGCTTGGAAAGGAGAGATTTGGTACTTAAATTAGTTCTATCAGCACTCTTTTTTTTTCTTTTTTTTTTTTCTTTTTTTTTTTTTCTTTTTTTTTTTTTGGTTGGCTGGGACTTGTTCTCACAGAACTTCAAGCTGGATTATTTGTGTTAAACTTCCTGACTGAATTCCGAACAAGTCATCTTTCCCCACAACGCTGACCTTTAGTACGAGGCCAATATAATTTTAATTTGTTTCAAGTTTCCCTTATAAGCAAGAGAACAAGAAACCATATCCCTCTAAGACCTGGTTAGCCAGCTGCACGGCAAAATGTTTTCAGATTCTAAGGGGGAAAAAAACCCAATCCAGTTGGATATTCCAAACTGCCATCCAAGTGGCATGTGTGGGGTTAGCTCTACTGCCTTCCAAGGAACTAGTCTAAAAGCTATGGAGAATACTGAAAGGTATGAAGTAACTAACCCGTTTCTGATCAGGGTTCTGCCCTGATGGAGGCATTGCAGGGCAAATTCCCGGCTCCTGTTGGTGGTCTGTGGCTGTGGTGGGGCAGAGGTGCTGGCCCGGGCTGCAGTTTGCTGAGGACATCAGGCCACCCCCTTGCACTGCTGCTACCCCAGTGTCCTGCTGGCACAATCATCTGGTCACCCGTGCAGGGAGCAGGAACCAGGCAATGGAGCTGCCTGAATGCAAACCCTTTTTTTTTTTTCTGTCTTTCTTTTTTCCTTCTCTGGAACAGTTTTAAAGCAGACTGGTTCCCTGCTCTGCTCCTCTGCCTGTGCCACCATGGGAGGAGGGCAATGTAGGAACAAGTGACTCGGAAGGAGCATCCTATGCTTTCATTTTCCAGCCACGATGAGATGGAGGACAGGCAGTCTCAGTCCTGTCACGGCAAGGAATTGCTGGGGAATGAGATGGATTTGGCTGAAGCAAATCTTGGTAGTTCCCTGTTAGGAAGAGAAGAGAGCAACATGTTTGGTAAGACAGAGGGCCAACAGTGGGGTGGGCAGCTTGGATACCCTTAAAAATAAGTAAGATATACTTAACCCAGCAGCAGAGAAGTGCCACAGACAAGAGCCATGGGAGAATCCAGAGTCATATCTGTTGTGGGGTGCCTTCCTTTGTCTTTATCAGGATAAAAGCACGTTTCCTGGGCAGTTCACCAGCCGTTTTGTTCTCACACTTGCTGCTGCCCATAACTGGAAATGCACATTCATGACTTCTGCAGAGACTCGCCTTTTGTTCCTCCTTGCTGCACACTTGGTCTCAAATGCACTTATGGGACTGCAGAGGACAGTGACAGATGTGGGGAGGTGATTTTTTCCCAGCACTAGGTGGCTGTGTGGCATTCTGCAGTGTGCTGTGCACAAGCATTTTAAAAGTTGGGAAGTGGGCCATTCTCATGGAAAGAAAGGCTTCTGTGTTTTCACACCTCTTCTTCAGTATGATCTTGTTGACGTTAGGAAAGCAAGGAATGAAGGCATTTTATTTGTCACTGGCTGCAGACACCCTTATCTCTGTGGAGCAGAGGTGGGCATGGAGCCCACCACAGAAGTGACCCTGGTGACTGGGCTGTGATTGCTGCAGTTGGCTGGTGGTGCTGCTGCTGCTTTTTGCTTAGAGGCTTGAATATGAGCATTAAAGAGAGAGTCTGCATATGTAATATCTGGTCCTCATCCTTCCAATGCTCATGGTACTCGCAGGCCACGGGGTGCTCCACGTGGGACATGAGGAGGGTTAGGTGGAGGGTGTCCACTCCCCAGGGGACACAGGGCAGTGGGTCCCTGACTTCTGGTGATCCTCAGGTGCCCTGATGTGCCAAGCTTTGCTGATGAACCAAGCTTGGAGAGGATTAAGTTGTCCTAAGACCTGGCTGTGCCCGTGGGCTGAGTGGCTTTGCCAAGGCCAACAGTCCCCTCAGGAGCCATGCTCAGCTGTTGTTTTTTCATGAAGCCCAGCCCAGAGAAGCAATTAGTCTCCAAATGAAAGGCAGGCTGTTGTTTTCCTCACCTCTCGCAGCACTGTCTTCTCTCCTTGCTCTTTTCTCAGCCACGATTTAGTCTCTGTGCATTTCCCTGCCCATTCCCTGCCCTCTCATGAGCAAACAACAAGAACTAGGTTTTGGCTTAAACATAAATATAAAATCCTGGTGCAGTGGCTTGTGGATCCCATGTGCAGAAAGGCTGATGCAGCAGGGGTTTGGCCATGCTCAGTTATTCCTTTGCAGTGAACAGCAGTGAAAGAACCTTTCTCAACTGAGATCCTTTGTGTGTTTGAGCTTCACCTTTGGAATATTCTGTAGTGATCGGAGCTACTGCAATTTTCCTTTTTTTTCCAGGGCTCTCTGGAGTGTAGATCATGCAACCCCACACTGAAAACCATGATGACACAGAGCATTTATTTTACATTTTCATGGTGGCACATCCAGTGTGATGATATGTATTTTAAGAGAAGAGGCCTCGCTGAGGATTAAAGATCTTGGGATGTTCAAAGCTGCTGTAAATGCATAAGGTGAGATATCTAATGAATTACAAGGTCTGCTAGAATCAAATTGTTTGTTAAACCACTAAGTCTAGGGCACAATAATACGTTAGGTCTCCATTGTGCTGGGTACTGTATGTCGGTAGCAAAAGGCTGGTTTAGGCCCCCAGATGTTTTTTGTAACTGCTGAAATTCTTAAATGATGTCACTTTGCAGCCTTGTTTCATGCTTGCTTTCTCTGAATGCTCTTGAATGAAGATCCCCAGGACATAAGAGTAATGTGCAGGAGTATTTGTCCCCAGGATTTTGCACAGTTGATCAGACGTGAAAAGGAGACGCTGCAGTGACTCATCTGACCTTGCAGACCCAAGACTCCGAGTGCAGACAGTGGGCTCTGCTAAGGTCCCCATCCCAGGAATGCAAAGCATTCCAGAAGCCTTCCTCAACAATTCTAGATAGTGGCTAGCAATTTTCTCACCAGTGTTATGTAAAATGGACAGAGAAAGCAAAAGACTAATTGGGTAAATTATTACAAACTGCTTATGAAATCCCTTTCATTTACACTTAGCAACACAAACCCACGGCAGGAATGGTACTGCTAAGGACGGCTAAAATATATTTTTTTATATTTTTCTTTTTAATAAGGGCAGTTTCCAGTGCTACACATAGGAATTCTTCTTATAGCAGAACTGCTGCTATGTTAGGCCAGGAAGATTTTGGCAATACTGAAAGATTTGCTAGTGTTTACTCATAAACTTGTAGAATTGCAAGACTGTCTTCCTTGTAATTAAAAACAGCTTTTTGCCCTCAGAAACTTACTGCCCAAATTTCAGTGGGATAGATGGGTACAGGTGGTGGGCATGGCATGTCCCCAGCTCTAACTGGCAAAACTCATTTAGCCATAACAGCAGAGGAGGGCATTAGGGAGGGATTTAAAGGAGGATAATGAGGTAAATAACTTTGGAGTTCCTTCTAAATGCCAATCCTCTATAATCGGGAAGGGCCATGTAGGAGCAAGCCCTTGAGCACAGGGGGCTGGGCTGGACCTGCCGTGCCCGGGAGGGGCTGCAGGGCGGTGGGAGCTCCCAGCGCTGCCCAGGGAACATCCCCTGGCGCTGCCAGCGAGGGGAGTGGGGGACGCCCTCTGTGCTCTGCTGGTTCGTGCAGCCCAAGCCACTCACAGAGCTCTGAATGACCAGCCTGGAATATGTGTCATGGAGAATAGTGGGGCTGGAGCTCGGGGTTTTTAGGGGGGGGGAGGTCAGTTTGTTTCAGAGTCTCATTTTCCATGCAAGCGAACTGCCCCACGTGTTTGCCCTCTGCAGGCAGCGGCCGAGCCGGGCGGGTCTCTGGGGGCAGCGGCCCGGCCGGAAGGGGCCTGCCAGGGCTGCTCTGGGATTTGTTTGCTTTTGATTATGGGAAAAATAACCCGAGATATTTCTGTGCACGCAGAGCATTCTTAATGACTGACAAATCTGTTGTCAAGTAGGGACAAGGGGGAAGTGCCATCCTGAAAGACGGCTCAAATGTGGTTTGGAATAGTTTTAAAAAACCCAAACAAAAACTTATTTTTAGTGACTTCCAGAAGCTTCTACTGCCAAAAAAAAAAACAACAAAAAAAACCACAAAAAACACATAATTGAGATAGCTGCACAGTTAAACCTGGCCTTGCTGTGGTGGAACTCAGTGGAGCTCACTGCAGTTCACAGCAGAGGCAGGGCAATAGAGTCTCCTCCACAGCCTCCCAGACAACCATCACTGGTCTCCTCCAGGTGAGGAACCCAGCACAGCAGTTGTCAGGCCTTGTAGGGTCATTTACACAGTGTGGGGGGATTGCTGAGGTTTTGTGCTGGCCCTCAGCTCCCATGAGCCATCCCAATGGCCCTTCAGGAGGAGAGGTGTTGTTCTTGCCTTTCTAGTGCCTGCTTGGTAGCTGGCTCTGCTGGGCCCACCAGGCAGCACTGGGGAGGACTGAGGATGCTCCTCACGGGTATCTGATTTGAAGTAACTTTGATATTTCTGCTGGAAAAGGTCCTCTGGTGACATTCCCATCTCCTTCAAAGTCAGTGCACTTGGCACCATGCAGGAGGCTGAGCAGTGACCATCTGCTCTTCAAACCAGGCACTGGCTGGGTCACCTCTGCCTGTCCCACCCTTTGTCCACCTTTGTTTTACCTCAGCTACTGTCAGGTAGTGAGAGGAAATGTGCTTATGTACATGCAAGTGGTACTTGCCTCCAAAGAGTAATATTGGGAAACACAAAATGCTCTGTAACCCTTTGTCAGTGAATTTGATGTGACCTGATTCACTCTAAAATGAGAACTTTGCACACAACAGCCCTTTAGCCCACTTACAGCTCTACATGTGGATTTATTAGTTGTATATATTGAATATAGTATTGACAGTCAGTTCATATATATGGGATTGGGGCTTTTTCGAGGTGGGAGGTGCTGTAAGAACAAAGCTTTGCCCCCTCCACGAGCAGATACAAAGGACAACATGTAGTGATAGTAAAACTGGAGAGATTTTGGTGAAGCACCCAGAGACTGCTCATGCACCACAGCAAGAGCTTTGCTGTTCTCTGCACACAGGGCTGGCAGCTGGCACGTTACACAGTCCTGTTCCCTGTGGAAGCCCTGCTGAGCCTCTGCAGCACCCTCTGTACTGCTGCTTTCTTTGGGCTGCATGTTTAGAAACAAAACTGCAGTTAAAGATCCAGCTCAAGCCAAACAGCAGCTTTTGGTACCTCCTCTGTGCTCCCTGACTCTGCCTGCTAAGCCTGCAAGCACATTCCTGCTGCAAGACATCCTTAGGTGCCAATAAAGCCATAACATTTTTGGGAAAGGTGATATGGAAATTACTGACTGCAGTGCAGTAGGTGCCCAACTTCATAGTATCTTTTGGCTCACCAGCAAACGAAAAGATTTCACGTTTGATGATATTACAATTAATGCAAAAAAAAAATTCAGTTAAATTATACCATGAAATCCAGTATGTTTTATCAAAGCATTGTCTGGCAGCTGCCAGAGCCTTTGGGATAGCAGGTTTTCTCCTGTATGTTGCAGAATAAAATAAGAAACATTTAAAGAAAACTTTGTTTTGCTCCACCTTCCTTCTTTTCTGATTCTGTTTGAAAGATGCAACAGCACAATTTTTAAGGACTTCTGCTCTATTTCAGAGGCATTCATGGACTCTTCCATATAGACATCTTTGTTGCAAATATTTTCTTTTAAATAGAGAATGAAATAGTATTTACAGTCAAGTAAAGGCAGATCTTACTACAGCTGCATGTGTCTGACTTTTACCATTAACTGAGGTATATTGGGGTGATAAAAGAACAGTTAGCCAAATAAACTGCAGTTATAGCTTTTATGAGTGAGGAGTGTAGGTAGTGAATTAACTATTCCAAGTTATGAGACATCACTAGAAGCAATAGAATGTGTCTAAAGGGACTGTAATGTTTGCTGCACTAAGACTTGCCATTTTTCCAAAAGGATTCCTGTGTGACAGTGACCACCGGCAAGGGGCCTGCGTCGAGGGTCCCCAGCCCTGGCCATCTTCCTCTGCTCCCATGCTGGGAAATGCCCTGATAAGGAGTGGAAAAATAAATGGTGCAGAAAGCTGTGATGCTTTTTTTCCTGTTCTTTTCTGATGTAGGAAGAAGTGAGAAAAAGGATCAACTCCCAGGTGAGCTCAGGCACAGCCAGGTGTGGAGGAGTGCCATCACCATCCTCTTGGAAGACAGTCAGCAATGCCTGCTGCAGGACACTGGGGCCTCTTTTTGCCTCATCAAAGAAGCTCTGTGGAAAAATTTTTTGGGGAGCCATGTCCACTGTTGGAGGTAAGTGCAGTTAAACATGTGGCTTGCAGGTGCTGCAGATAAGTCTTGTTGCTCTCCCTGGCATTGCACCCTGCCACACAAGCCATTTTAATTTCCTTCCCTACCCTGTTGCTGTATCCATCATTACACAAAGTGTGTGAGCTTTTGAAAACTTCAGGTGAAGACACTGAGGTGAGACCAGAGCCACACCATACCTGACCTCAACAGAGCAGAATTTATCACTGCTTTATTTCCCCTCTGCCAAGCTCGGCACACTTGACTCACGAAGCTTTCAGCTGCAGGACTGAGGTGGTAAAAGGCACAGCTTGGCACAGTGATTTCCTTTCCTGTCCTGTCTCCCTGGGGGCAGGAGGCAGCACAGCCCCTTGGTTTCACAGTGCCAGGCCCGTTCACACGGGCTGGGAAATGCTCATGGCACTGTTCCCTTCCTGTGCTGGGAGCACCGAGGGGCGTCTCTGGCGTTCGTTTGCCTCACCAGAGCAGAGACTAATTAACTGATCACTTGGCTTTAACATTCCTGCCATAGCTTAAATGTGCCAAAATTTTAATGAACATGTTTTTTTTGGACAGACCACTTAACCACTTGAATTACTGTAACTAACCAATGCAGCCCATGTTCTCTGAGGTGACGACTTCCCAGACATGTCATACAACTGGGGGGGTTGAAGATTTTTTTTTCAGCCATGATGCAAACCTTTGAGAATTTGTTCTTAAATGTGTTGCTGGATAGATACTTATTTTATCACTTCACTATCAGATCTCCTCATGGCTTCTTACTTTTCGTGCAGTTTTCAGTCTGTACTTTTATGCTTTTTGTGTGAGCACAGTGATTTGTACTCTCTAATGCTGTATGTTGTCTTCTGATGGGACAGAAACCAGCAGCACAGGGACAGTGCAGGTAGTGCAAAATGAGCTAGTTCTTAGTGTATGTTTTAAACAACATGGGAACTTGGGATTGCTCACTGTTAAAAGATGGTGGGAATTGTATTGAGCACTAGGATAGGATCTCAAATGAATATTGAACAGGAAGAAAATATTTTTTGTCTTCTGAGTTTTATTAAAAATTGTGGTTAACTCCATAAAATACATTATGTGGTTAACTCCATTTTAAAATACATAATTCAGCTGCTCATAAGCCCAGTGGTGGTGACTGAGGGGTGACCTGCAGTTTATTCCAGAACCCAATGCCCTCTGTTTCGAGGGTGACATTTTCATGTCCAGCTCAGACACCCAGTGAACACTGGTATCTCCTACTCAATGTCAAGCTCTTCTCACTATTTCTAGACCTTGCTTAGTAGTTCCTCCTTCAAAGTTTCCTATCTGTAAGTTGCCCCAAGCATGAGGTTGTTAGCACCAACTGGGATCCTTGTTTTAGCAAATTCAGCTAAATTCAGTGATGGCATCAAGTTGGGTGGGAGTGTTGATCTGCTGGAGGGCAGGAAGCTCTGCAGGGGGATGTGGACACACTGGATCCATGGGCTGAGGATAACAGTGTGAGGGTCAACAAGGTGTAGTGCTGGGTCCTGCACCTGGGTCACACCAACCCCTGCAGTGCTCCAGGCTGGGGCAGAGGGGCTGGAGAGCTTCTCAACAGGAATGGACTTGGGAGTGCTGGTTGACAGCTGCTGAACGTGAGCCCAGGTGTGCCCAGGTGGGCAAGAAGGGCAGTGGCACCAGGCCTACTGCCATGGTGTGGCAGCAGGACCAGGGCAGTGACTCTCCCCCTGTACTGGGCACTGCTGAGGCTGCACCTTGAGCCCTGTGGTCAGTTTGGGCCCCTGACTGCAGGAAAGACACTGAGGGGCTGGAGCGTGTCCAGGGAAGGGAATGGAGCTGGGGAAGGGTCTGGAACACCAGGAGCAGCTGAGGGAGCTGGGGGGGCTCAGCCTGGAGAAAAGGAGGCTCAGGGGGGACCTTCTGGCTCTGCAAGTCCCTGACAGGAGAGGGGGGCCAGGGGGGTGTCGGGCTCTTCTCCCAGGGAACAAGGGACAGGAGGAGAGGGAACGGCCTCCAGCTGTGCCAAGGGAGGGTCAGGTTGGAACTGGGAAAAACAACTTTATGGAAGGGGTTGTCCAACCTTGGCACAGGCTGCCCTGGGGAGTGTTGGAGTCCTCATTCCTGAAGGGCTTTAAAAGCTGTGTAGATGTGGCACTCGGGGACATGGTTCAGTGGTGGCCTTGGCAGTGCTGGATTAATGGTTGCACTTGATGATCTCAGAGGTCTTTGCCAACATAAACAATTCCATGATTTTTATATACACACATATAGTTTGAGTGTGTGTGTTGATGGTGGTGTGTTGCATCAAATGACTTCTCATCCAACTTCATTTATTCTAGGAGTCTGTACCCCGTGGGGACTAAAAGCTGAGTGACAGGGGTTTGAGCTGAAGACACCTCCCCAGCCTAGTTCCCATACTCCTCATGGTTTCCATAACTGGCCAAACATCTCTGGTTGGGCCCTGGGATCACCTGAATCCCTGTAGCAGCCAATAGCTGCAAGGTGAGGGGTGCAGCCCTGGGCATGGCTGGTAAGGTGGAAGAGCAGGGCTGCCAAAGTCCTCCCAAAACATCTACATGCCAGATTTAGCAACCACGTGTCGTGCAACAGCTCCGTTACACCCGGGCTGTGGCTTGGCTGCCGTGCCAGCGATCCCAGCACAGCCCAGCCCTCGGAGCCGGGCCTGACTCACCCCCTTCCTGCCACGAAAGGATGGGCATTTTCCAGCATGGATTTCCTGCATGGAGGCCCACAAGGGGCACAATATATTTTAAGTTCTTTTCAGTCAGGCTGATTATGAGTTGGTATAAATTCTTGCTGCATTAAGACGTCCTAGATTTTTATTGAGTACATTTGTGTCAACCATGTGCTAAGGCCCTGTTAAAATGCTTTGAGTTGGCAGTCTTTGTGCCTTTTTTTTTTCCTTCAAGGAGGGCATGAATTGCTCATTTTGAATGAATTTTTCAAAATAGAGAGAAAATAGCATGGATGTGAAGGCCCTACAGAAGTGTGGCACATCTGTTTCAAAGCACCGAAGTGCAGACCGAGTGTCCCTAAAACAATTGGGGCATTTGTAACTCTTTCCATTCTGACTGCGCGAAAGAAAAATTTGCCAAAATAGCCATTGTGGGAAAAGCCTCCAGTAAGTTTTATTTCCAGCTGTGAAGTCATCTGGGCTCTGCTGAGCCAGGGTGGCAGAGCTGGGGAGGCCTCTCTGATGGGAGGGTGGCAGCACACCGGAATAGCAGCTCATGAATATTTGACTTCTGTGAGTCACTGGAGGGAAGAACAGTCACAGGGAGAGCAGACTGACCAGCTTAATGGAAAGGGAAGCCACTGGATATGAGGAAACAAGGAAGAAACTGGTTCTTGTCCTCTTTCCCCAGGCCACAGCTGGAGACAAGATGCCAGAACTGATGCACGTTCTGCTCGACAAGGCCAAGGGGTGAGGAAGGTAAATGTGACCAAGCTCCATCTGTGCCATGACACTGGAGACAAGGAAGTGGCAAAAAGCTTCAGAAAGGTAAAATACCTAAAAAATGCATCTCTTTGATCCCATCAAAGCTCTGGCTACAGTTTCTGAATTCCTGTGACTCAGCAAGAATATGGAGAAAATTCCCCAGTCCGAGGTCCAAGTGCTTAAAGCTGTGTAAGTTCATAGCCCAGGCAAGTCTCTTCTGAACACTCCAAAAAATAACAGGAGTCTTGGAAAGCAAATGTCCCTCACTACTGACTGTCCTACATGTGAACTAGCCAGACTGGTTAAAGCTTAATTAAAACTTGCCAGAGTGGCTAAATTCCTTTCTAAGTGCAGCTGCAGAACGTTAGCTGTGGGCATATTTTAGACCTTAATTAGTAACACTTGCACTGGAGGACCAAAAACCTTTCATGAATGCAGCTGCAATCAATTAATATCAGTCAGGCATTTCTGTGGGCAATACCAGGCTCTCCTGAAAATTGTTTAGTGCCCACCTAGATTTAAAAAAATAAAATTCTTATGCACAACAAACTACAAAAACAAAGATAACTACAAAATGTCTTTATTGAAAAAAAGCAGATTATAGCATCTAAGGTTAAATGAAACTTCTGACTTCAATATTAAATAACTTAAGATGATAGCAAGTTGCTTCTTCTTTAGATAAATAAATCTACATTTCCCAATTTTTTTCTTCAAAAATCAAGGGAATCAAACACTGAAACACAAAACCACAAGTAATTCTAAAGACTAAAAGACAGAAGCACATTGAAAGGTTTTACAAGGATATATATACAAAAATAGTTAAACTAATGTATATTTTCAGCATGTAAACTAGTTACATGATATACAAACTGGGAATTCATATATTTCCTACAAAATAAAAATCAACGTTGGTCCAAGTTCTTGGAAGAAAACTATATTCTTTTAAAGAAAATGAAAATATTTCTCAAATGAAAACTTAATTTAAGTCAAATTATATACTCTAGTTTACGGCATTAGTTACAGGATGAATCACAAACTTTTAAACTTTTCTTGAAACACAAGAAAGCAGCTTTTGTCTCCTTCAGAGCTTTGGTTTACTTTACTACTCTGGAATTTCTGGTCTTAAAGAGCTCCTCTAACCATGTTTTCCTTTTGAAGCTCCACCTTACAAAATATATACACACGTGCAGGCAAGTGAAAGGGAAAGGAAAGAAACCCAAACAAACCCTCTCTGTAAGGTCAGTTATCTGAGTGCATTCTTTTGTTTTGTTTTCAAATAAGTATTTTGGTCCTTTCTTTGGAACACTCCTCCCCTGGACGGGACTCTGCATCCCCACAACAGCTCTGGGCTGCAGGGACTTGGGAAGATTCCCCACCCAAGGGGAGAAGGTGCAGTCCTGATGCAAATGAGAACAGGTTGTTATTGTTTTAACTTTATGGAAACATTCTGAAAGTACAGCAAAGGCTTCTGAAGAACAATCACATCATAAAATGAACTCGGGAAGTTTACGTCTGTGTTCAACTGATTTCAGGTAAGAATACTCCGTAAGAAAATCACTGAAAGAAACTTTCTCGCTTACATAATTCCCAGGCAGGAGGTAATGTGCAGAAACTGCCACTTGCACTAAAGAGTACAGCACATCATTATCTTAGGTTTGATTTTATTTTTCTCTTTGATTTGAGCGGGGGAAAAAAAATCAAACCAAAACTCCAAACTGGCAAATTTCACTCAAGCTCCACCTTTCATAGTAACTGTTGGAAAAGCAAAGCTGTACTTCATAATACAGTAATGGAATGCATCTGTCTATAGAAAATACTGGAACAACAACTGCTGCTTTCTGCTTTTAAACAAATTGCTTATTCTGTACTGAAATACCACCTTTTGGTGATACTTAACAGATCAGAGCTGTGTAGAACTACAAGAGACTCACAGATCAACATGAGAAATAAAATTAAATATTATTCTGTTCTACGGGATGATTGTTTAAAAAAAAAAAAGAAGAAGAAAAGGTCTGGTATGTACATGGTTGAGTTTGCTGTGCCTTGGAAAGTATGTTGGAAACTTAAACTTGCCCCGGAAGGAGGTGAAGTGCTTGGGAAGATCCTGGCAGAGGACAGGTCCAAGTGCCAGGGTCAGTCACCTCCAGCTCTGGCCACTCTCAGCTTGGGGGTTTTGCTTCTCTCCTGGTAAAGCAAAGCACTTTTCCAGTCCAGCAAGTACTGTTATGGGATCATTTGCTCCCAGGAACAGACACAAACCTTCTCTCTGCATTTTAATGGTTCTTTCCTTATTTTGGGTTCCTCAGTACACACTGTAAAGACAAGTGAGTGAAAATGCCTCCAAGCTAAAGGTGGTCCAAGGTAGCTCCTTCAAAGGAGAAAGCACTGCCCTGCAGCTGATGCTAAAAGTTTATCCTGAAGCTCTGGTATCTTCCATGGTTGTAATAACCTCAAGGAACTCACCTAGTCCTAACTACCCAGTTTAAACCAATTTTTCCCCCTTTTCTAGCCGTTGCTGGCACACACAATTCCACTCCTCCTGAGGCTGGGCTGCTGACTATGGACACAGAGAGAGTGCTTGCAAATGCAAAGTGCACATGCACCCACTGGCCTCTGGTTTGCAGGCCAGGCCTCTTGGGCCACAGTGTAGAAATGGGGCTACTGGTTGCACTGCAATTCCTCCAAAACCTGGGGCTCACATTAAATATGTTAATTATAAACTGATAAACTGATATATACTAAGTAAAAAATGACTTTTTAAAAGAGCATCTGACTTGCCCAGAAGCATTCAGGAGGACAGGTTAATCTAGGCCAGTGGAAGGCTGGCAAAAGTTCAGGAAGTGTACCTTTTGTTCCTTACTGACAGACAAAAATAGTTCTCAGGAATTTTTCCTGCCCACCCCCCTTCCCCCATAAGAAAATTCCAGACTATCAAAAAGTTCTGTTAAGGGAGTTAATTATTCCACTTAGGAATTAGTGTCCATTGGATGCTCTTTGTGCTTTTCAAGAGCACCACAAATGGCTTTCAAAAAGTCAATGGAGCATAAGAAACTAAACTGCAATGGTGTTGCCAAATAAGTCATCTCATCAGCCTGCCTGGTGAATTGAACACGGGATCATTTCCGACCCGATCGCTCCCATTCTCAGCGTGGGGAGAACTGGCAGGGAAACGTCCCCATTTACACATGCAGTGAATCTGCTCTGGAATTTCCACTTCCTCTGGAGCAGAAGAATTTTATTTTATTGCAATTTTGAACACAGTTAAAGACAGCAATGATAAATGGCAACTTCAGGAAGGCTGGATCGATTCTCATGAGAACACAAGGAATTTTTTAGACATACAGATGTGTGATTTGCATGTAAATCACCAGCACATGGTAGAAAACAAACCATAAAAAAAGATTCATTTAACTTCCTATATGGAAGACATATATTTTCCCCCAGAGCTCTGAGGGTACTGTAAAAGCTTATGCAAAACATGGAAGTGTGTACATTCTATGTACAGCTAATACTTGTTGGAAAATACCAATGTTTCAATGACCCGACTCTCTAAATTCTTATTTCTGTTAAACTGTACTTTGTTTTCCAATGAAGACAATCCCCCTAATCAGTTCAAAAGTAATCCAGAAAAGAACACAAAGCTGAAAAGGTAATACAAAACCACTGTCCCTCTCTTTCTTTAATAATGTCTCAACATACAATCATAAAGCAGTTGGTAACAGATGAAGTCTTGTATCAAACAAACCGTATAAAGACAAATGTATTTTTGCATAGAAAGGGGCAGCTAACCCTATTAAACAACAAACAGGTTTGAAAGATGAATTCTTTAGTAAGTGCCAAATGGTCCAGTTGATATGAGTGAGTTTGGAAACCATGGCTACCTTGTACCCAGCCAGCAATTCCAGGGGCTGTGCCACCCTGCAACTGCTAACCCTGCACGTGCCAACCTTTTGGGGATAATCCTCTGTAACATGGGTTTTACATGAAGTGCTTGCCATACTTCTCGAACAAGCCCAATAATTAGTCTTTGGATGACTGTGGAACCTTGTAGGATGGAGAACTGGCCTCACAGGATGCTGAGCCTGTGCTGAACCCGTCCTGGCTACAAACACCCACCTGCCTCCTCCCCACTGCTGCTGGGAATCCAAGTATTCTCTAAGACCAGAATTCACCAAAACTAGCTAAAATGCTAGCATTTATCTTATCATGCCTGCTGCAATATGATAAGGTGCTAACTTTTGGAAAGTAATTCTACTCTCCTCACTCGGGTGAAATCACTGAAGGAAGTGAGCAGGGAGTGCAGAACAGCCCTTTGTACCATTGTTTTAGAAATGCTGCCATTTACAGTTACAGTTTAGTGGTAAATTATTTGTTCAAGTAGATGGTGTCTCAGTGAAAATGTCTAGATAAAAGAATGCATATGTACAAGATCAAAAAAGGACCCTTCACCTCTGATTCAAAAAATAAATAGCTGGTTTAGGTGGTTATTACTGGAATCTCATCTTTAAAGGAACACGAAAGTCACTTTTACATATTTGTCTTCTCTTTCAATTGATCCTGGCAATGTCCCTCAGAGTTCTGTGACATGCATGGGGTAGCTGGGAGGGGGATGTGATGGCAGTTTGATGTTGAGGCGCCTGATGTGACAGCTGTGGCAGAGCAGGTGGCCCTCTAAGGGGTAACAACGATGGCCTTCCTCATCATTGAGCTGCAAGCCACAGTCCTGGAGGAGACAGACAGCCCAGGTTAGTGAGGGAGTCAGGCAGGGCACCTCCCAGCACTGCTGCCCTGTCCTGCACAACCCCAGAGCTCCCTCCCTGCCTCCAGAGCAGCAACCCCGACAGGCTGGGGGGGACCCTGACAATCCACACCAACATCCCTGAACTCAAACAGGGCACTCCAGAGCAGTACCCAGCCTCTCTTCCACCACTGTTTCCCGTTCTAGTCTCTTCTTCAGCTCATAAATATTGATGCAAATTGGCCAAAAAGCAGGGCAAGGACCGACCCTGAGAAATACAACGTGGGAGGGGTTAGAACAGAGGAGGAGCTGATGCTGCAACACAAGAGCAGAGAGAGCACAAGCAGAGAATGAGGAGTGGGGAAAAGGGGGGAGATGAGACATGTCTGAAGCAGCACTACGCTTTCTCTAATTTGGAATTAAAAAAAAAATTAAAGAGTTCAAGGCCAGTTATCCAACTTTACTGGAAATGCTGGTACCTCTGGGACTGGCACATAACTACAGGGACAACGTGGGTGAACAACAGAACAGGAACAGAGAGAAACAGAAAAGCAGCTACCAGTAATCCTGCCTGCTACTGTTCTATAGCCTGCAACAGAAACAATACTGATTTTCAGCTGCCATCATTATAATCTTGAGGGCATTTAAAAATCATGGAAATTTGGTGCTCAGTTTTGATGTTTCAAATACGTTAAATACTTAAAAATTGTTACTGTGACCAGTCCTGAGAAACCAGAGATTCTAAATTTGTATCTGTGCACTTAATAGAAAGGGGGAATAGGAAAAAATTGGGCATATAGGTTATTTTAGACTGAAAATGAATAAAAAGCTGTTAATTGGACACGAAGAATGATTTTTCACCTTTCACAGCTCAAGTTTAAATCCTCAAATTTTACAATGCTGAAATAAGGCTGAAAATGGGTTTTAAAGTGAGCTTTAAAACTGGAATGTTAGTTTAGTGAGGCCAAAATCAAAGTTTCTGCCAAGGTAATTTTCTGTGTGTTGCTAGATATTATGTAATAATTTTATAGCCATTTATGTAAGATTTAAAATTAGAATTTACCAATTTGAGACACCCTACAGATGTGCCAAGTGTTGACATCTCTTTGCCTTTCCAAAATGGAATTCCCTCTGTGCAAGGAGGGACCTTGTCAGTGGGTTCCAGTTCCACACTGGGGGTCTGTTGATGAGTAACTGCTTGAACTTCTCTGCAGAAGTGAAGTGGTTGCACACGAACGATGCAGAAAAGCAGCAAAAGTTCCAACCTGACCACTGACTGCGGCCACCAGGTGAGGATGCAGAAGTCATCGTAGCATTCCTCAAAATACTGGCACTAACTCGTCCAGCAGCATTTGGGGACAGCTGTACAGTCTGACAGCCTAGTCTGAGAGCACGAGGCAGTGACCCACCCCTGCTGACACAAGGCCAGCTCCTGATTTCTGTACATAAGTGCACTCTGCCTCTCGGGGCAGATGTGGAGGCAGCCTGATTTGCCTCAAATGGGAAGGAGAACGAGGAAATGAATAATGAAACAGAACTGAAAATAAACCCCCAGTGGGACATTCTAGCATAAAGTCAAGAGAGAAGGGGAGGGAGCTGTCATCTGAGGTGAAGCCTGCACAAAGCAAGAGATGGGGGAAGAAGGAGGAGGGAAGTACTGCTCTCCAAAATACTGCGATTTCCTGTGCCAGTTTCTCCTGAAAAATTAATAGAAAAGGATGGAGTATCAGGTGTCTCTGTTGGAAGGAGACAGCTGAGTGCATGGGGTCTTCCTTACATTTAGGGACATAACATTTCAAGATGTCCTGAATTTTGTTATTTCTCCCTCCATCAGAAGGCTCTTTGTAAAACCTTGTGCACAACAGTGTGTGAAGACAGCATTGCTGCACTGCTGCCTCTGGTGCTAAAAGTCAGGCTCTGTGTGGATATTCATACATTATATCAGAGCACCAGACCTACAGTGAAAGGGAAGTTTTCGGTTGATCCCAACTTAGAGAGTTTGTTTCCCTCCTCATGTTCCTGGATGCAGAGCTCATGATGAACTCAGCTCTCCTCTCCAAAGCAAGAGCACTAATTCCACAAATTGATCTGCCACAACACATGTTTAAATGTCCTGCATAATAAGAAACTACTCCCCAAAAAGTGAGAGTCAGTCAGTGGTATCTTTATCTCTTTTCTAGTAAGGAATTCAGAAGGGAAAAATCAGATCCCCCAAAAAGCCTTCCCGTCAGGGTTCTTCCCTGCACAGGCCATGTGAATTCAAGTCTGCTCAGATTAGAGCCCTACAGCCTGTATCCAGAGATGAGGAAACAGAGAACTGGCATCTACTCTTTGTTCTCTCCCCATCTGGAAGTATTGAGAAAATCCAACCCAACCACTCAAACCCAGTTATTCTATTGGGTAAAGAACCCAACCCAAGCCCACTTCCAGCCCTGCCCGCCTGAGCCGTGGGGCAGGGCCCTGCCCAGGAGTGCAGAGCCAGCAGGCACAGCCCTGCAGTGGGTCAGGCCCTGCCCAGAGCTGCTGTTGGGGCGGGCAGGGGTCCCAGCTCACCTCGCAGTGGTAGCACTCCACGTGGTAGTCCTTGTCCATCGACACCACCCGGATGGTCTCCTCGGAGCCCTGGTGGGAAGCACAGACAGAGTAAGAGTGGTGCCTACACAGCGTTTCTCAGTGGTCACTCAGTGCCCAGCCTGGCTCTTTGGAGAGCTGATTCCATGGGGGATCCCCTCTCCCCCTGCACAGCACAGCTCAGGGTCCCATCCCCTGGTGCACGGCCCTGCACCTCTGGTTTGGCTGTTCAGCAGCACTGTGGGTCTCTGACACATCTCAGCTGGAGAAGCCATTTGGGAAGTGTGGCCAAAACTTCATCCTCAAGGGACAAATTAGTTTTGAAATGAAATAATTTTCCAAGGGCACCCAGGATCTGAATCAGTGACCAGTCAAAAACCTGCTGATTGGGTAACTTTTCCTAGTAGGCATCCTGGTGTGTTTTCCAGGACTTGTACTCCCCTCAAACCCTCTGCTGCACAGCTCTTTAGCACATGCACATGTCACTGTGTGCAGCCCACAGGGACTGACATACCAGTCTGGCAGGTAATTACCTGCACAGGCCAAAACCTCAGCGTGAGGGTGGGTGCAGGGGCGTTGTGTAATTCCCGGCTGAGCCCCAGGCCCTGCAGAGCAGCCCATACCCTTCTGGTAACCTCACAGGCTCCCTTCCTGATCCACTGTGAAGCCTCTGAAGCCAGAGCTCATTAAATGTGTTGCCTTGCCTTGTTTCCAGCTCCAGGTGTGGTTAGAGCAGCAGGTATGACATGGACTATGTCTGAGAAGCAGTGGGCAAGTCAGTACCTGCACTGCTAGACTTGAACTAACCTAGGAAACCTCCCTGGGAAAGAACATGGAGTGTCTCCTGCTAGTCATCAGATGAGTCAGCAGGACAACTGCCTTTTTTCCCCTTTTCTTTCTTTCTTTCTTTAAAAGAAAAAAAAAGTTATTTTGTAAGATCCAAATTCAGGGACATTTACATGGGGGTTTTCTCCTCACAACCCACCACCAGAACAAGCAATTCTAGCCCAGCCTTTAGAAGGTTTTTAGTGATGTGAGACCTGGCCAAGTAAGAGAAACACTAATGACAAATGAGAGTAACGTGCAGAGTGATGGGGCATGTGAGAGGCTCCAGCCACAGGCTTTACTGGGGCACAGCAGCTTATAGGAGGCAAGCTCTGGCTCTATAAACATGGCAAGAGGACAAGCTGAGGCCCTTGTTTACAAACGAGCTGGTCAGTGACCTCAGCAATGGGAACTTGGAGGGCCCTGCACCCAGCAGAGCACAGGGGAGCACCACTTAATGCCCAAGTCTAACTGTGCTGACACCACTGGGGCTGAAGCTGCAAGCAGGTTTCACCTGCCTTCCATTTTAGCCAACTTTGTTGTTGCCTTTTCCATGCCTTTAAGCACTTTGGTTGCCACCCCAGGATGACAGAATGTGTGGGCTTCTCACAGGGGCAGGGTAACCATCAGATGTCGTTTCAAGGGCTTTACTGCTTGGGTTGTTGTTGGAGCCCCAGTCAGGGTTTTCAATTAAATGAGACTTCTACCAGCATAATTAGGAGCTGGAAGGCACCCTAAAGATACAAAGTCCTGTGCTGCATAAGTAGTGTGACTACTACAACCTCTGGGGAAGGTTTGAGAGTGACTTTACTGCTGAACGGTGTTTAATACAGTATCTAACATAGGACAGATTCTGGAAGATGGAGGAAAAGCATCTGGTGTGTTTTTAGGAAGTGTTCCTATGCCAACAGCTGTTTTCTGTAGGGACCCAGTGCATGTTAACACGTACCTGTGCTGGGAGGATTGGCTGGTTACAGGAAGCACATTTTGGTGCAAAAACCCTAGGGTGCAAGAAGAGAGTGTTCAAATCACATTGAAAGCTTCTTCAAAAAGTAGAACCAAAGGAGCTATTCTAATCATGCCTTGTTTTCAGCAAAATGGACATCCACAGGATTTGAAACACCTCTAATTCTTTGATGGTATTCAGCAAAAATGAGATTTGGGAGAGGCTGATCTGCCCCAGCTTTATTGCTTAGGTCTTCCTGACCTCCAGGCATAGTGAATCCAGCCCTCTTCCTGCACATGCCCTTTCTCTTTCCTTCCTTTTATAAAGCCATTCAAATTCTCCCAGAGACTCGATGCACCGCCTGCAAAGCAGCTCTTGACTTGGAGACTGTCACAGTCTGACATCAGAAAGCCATAACCTGCTAAATAGGACAGGGGCTGCTCATGGCTGGGATGCACTCACTAAACACACCAGCTGGGCTTATGGCCCACAGCTGCATTTTATGCCAACCACTGGGCCAACACTCTGTGCTCTCATAGCACGGTCAGCTTGGCACCAACAGGGTCCATTCAGGGTGAGTTACTCTTGCTGCATAAGCTGAGCTTTTGGTTGACTGGAGCTAAGAGCATCCTGCCTTTGAGCAGGATCAGAAAGAAGTCCAAAAGCAATCCCTTAAACCTTTTGTCTGGTAAGGCTGAAGTCATTCTAGCACTGCCTGCTAATTACATGTGCACTGTCCAGTCTTGGTTAACGCAGCTTGCACTCGTGTCATGCACTACCAGAAGCTCAACTCTCAGAAACAGCCAGCAGGATCTTCCACCACTTGCAGAATTGGCCTGATACAATTAGTATTGGAAGTCCTGAAATAACAGCCCCCAAGAAAAGCATCCTCTGACACAACTTGATTTTCAGCCTCACTTGGCCACTGGATGCCACACTGGGCCCATGAAGTGCCCTTTAATAAACTTTAAAATACTTTACAAATGCAACACATGAAAGCAGCAGTTAAGGGACATCTGAGCAAATGGGAGTATATATCTCAATAATTTACCTACTCTAATTTTCCAAGCATGTGTGTGGACTCACGTGTGGTAGTCTTTGACACAGTAAATATTGTTCTCCACGTCCACGGTGAAGGGCACTCCATCCAAACACTCGTTACACACCACGCAGCGGAAGCAGCCAGGATGGTAGGACTTCCCAAGGGCCTGTAAGATCTTAGGAAACAAACAACAAAATAAATGGATACAGGATTACATGAGACTTCTGCCCCCCCCATATACTGCTGTGCCTCACTCATTCCTAATAATGACAGTGAGAAAAGTACTTTGGGATGAAATTACCACTCTGCAGATCTGTCAGCAAGGGGCCTCTTAAAACAATCAGACTTGCTTATTCCAGTGGGTTTCAGTGCTCTCCCAGTGAAGAGAGAGAGCTGAAAATCAGGCTAACGCCCATCAGCTCTGCAGGGCCAGGACTGTCAGTGGGAATTAAACACGGCTCCACAGACCACTTCTTGGAAAATCCCAAACACAAATTATGGCATACAGAGCTACTGCACAGAATTTAACAGGCTGTGACAGACAGAATCCAAACTGGCCATTGCTCAATCTCAAAAAGTAAAATAACAAAACAAGCAATTACAGAGGTGTCCCTTTATTAATTAAAGATCCTAATCCACCACAGTTACTGGCTGGTTATCGCTCAGTCATAGAGGGCCACTGGTTTCTGATAAAATTCCATGTGTATCCACGTGTTTGGATACTGATTCATCCACCTGCTCAGGCTTTTCCCATGCTGCCCTTCCCTACTGCATTTTAGAGGTACTTCAGAATGGATCCCCTCCCTCCTGGCATCCTTGTATGGAACAGCCAGTGTGGCACTGGGACATTAAGGAGGATGCCCCAAGCCCACAGCATCATCTTCAGGCAGCTCTCAACAGGTTATAGGACCAACTCCATTCACTTCAGGTGTGAAAAATACCTTTGGAAGGTAATTTCCAAAAGCATCTGCTAGCAGCAGTGCTCAGCCTGGAGATGCTAGTAAGCTCAAGATGAAAAATCTCCACAGCCCAAGCTCTCATGGCCCTGTAGATGATTTTATGAATGAAGATTATATCAACAGGAAATAAGTAGTGGCACATAGGAAAAAATGCCAATTTAATTTAACCTTTTTTTCCTCTCTAATGAAGCCCTGTAGCTTTGTGTTCAGTGAGTGGCATCAGGCTCTCTCTGATCTGCAAGCCCATTCCTGGCCAGAAACAGCTCGTACCTGTGCCGTGCTGCTGTGGAGGCTGTGCAGCCCAAGGGCACAGGGGGCACTGCCCAGGGCTTACCCAGCTGCCCTGACCCCAGCCCAGCTCTGCCCTGAGCCCAGCTCAGCCCCAGCTCTGCCCTGAGCCCAGCACAGCTCTGCCCTGAGCCCAGCACAGCCCCAGCTCTGCCCTGAGCCCAGCTCAGCCCCAGCTCTGCCCTGAGCCCAGCTCAGCCCCAGCTCTGCCCTGAGCCCAGCACAGCCCCAGCTCTGCCCTGAGCCCAGCACAGCTCTGCCCTGAGCCCAGCACAGCCCCAGCTCTGCCCTGAGCCCAGCACAGCCCCAGCTCTGCCCTGAGCCCAGCACAGCCCCAGCTCTGCCCTGAGCCCAGCTCAGCCCCAGCTCTGCCCTGAGCCCAGCACAGCTCTGCCCTGAGCCCAGCACAGCCCCAGCTCTGCCCTGAGCCCAGCTCAGCCCCAGCTCTGCCCTGAGCCCAGCTCAGCCCCAGCTCTGCCCTGAGCCCAGCACAGCCCCAGCTCTGCCCTGAGCCCAGCACAGCTCTGCCCTGAGCCCAGCACAGCCCCAGCTCTGCCCTGAGCCCAGCACAGCCCCAGCTCTGCCCTGAGCCCAGCACAGCCCCAGCTCTGCCCTGAGCCCAGCTCAGCCCCAGCTCTGCCCTGGGCTGGCTCAGGGGCACGGCTGGGCCACGTTCCCAGGGAGGAACCCACAGGAATTAGCCAAGTAACACTGCTTAATTCCTGGAGCTCCCAGAGCCGTTTCCTTTTGCCAGAGCACACTTGCTGATGGGAGAAAGGCAGACCAGCACCTGCCAAGCTTCCAGCTACTGAGCTGCACCAACAAGACATTATGGACTCTTGCCTGGGACTCTGCAATTAAGGGCCAGCTCAAAGCATGCGAGTCAGGATCCCCCTCCCCCTCCCAGCATGACACAACCCCAGAAATTTGCTCTTGGGCTAAAACGAACAATATCCTTGTCCAACCAGTGGTGCCAGGATACGAGCCAGAATCCTCATTAGTGAGGTCTCCGTTCCAGCTCCTACTGAACCTCCGTGTGTGCAATGCAGCAGTTACTTCTTTAGGCACATTGAAGCTCGTGCACACTTTAGGGCAAGAGGAAAACAGATATGTACAGGATCTGCACCTTGTTGTGCAAGCCACTTCATTTTGTTTAGGAATTTCTGCTTAGGAAGAGCACACTAAACTCTTCCTACTTTCCCCCACTGAAATGATGCCAGCAGTATCTGGCCCAACCTGTAGCCCTCTGATTTTTTTTATTACAAAAGTAACTCTGGCTTCTGGCTCCCTACAGATCCCAGTGGCAACAGTGCATTTTAAATGACATGGAGCAAGTGACAGAGGGTAAATAAAGCAAGTCAAAGAATGGGCGACAAACCTCAGGAACATTGATAATGTCCTTCTCCACTCTAGCCCAGATTCCACCACCTGTCACCTACAGTCTTACAGAGCACAACCTGTGTTCCTCTGCCATGTTCTCATACAAAGTTGTGCTGTATTTTCCCCTTTTAGTATTAAAATTCAATTTCTTTGTAACTGACAACAGCCTCCCATGATCTCAGGTAGCAAAGAAGCCAAACTTCTTGTACTCAACAGTAATAGAGCATGAAGGCATTTTCATTTACTGTTTCAAAAACTGCACTGACAGCAGTGAAGGCACAATGCCAGCCTGGGTAGGGAAAAAGCACAAAGTGTGACAGTGCACTCCCCAAAGTACAGGAAAAGTGAGCTAGCCCGTGTCAGGGATTTAGGTCTCTTACCATTTCCATTATGAGGTGTCCACACACAAAGCACTTGTCTGCTGTTTGCTGAAAACCTGAATACTGTTCAAAGGATAGAAAAGAAAGGATTATTAGTAGCCACTCCTCTAGCCACAGAAACACCTTTTAGGTGAAGGCTGTGCTATTTTCCAGCCTGTGCTGTACATGACAGCAAACCATACAGAGGTTTGGGAGACAGAGACTTGGAAGCCTCCGCTCTGCTCTCACAGCATGTTCAGATCCCAATCTGGCTCCTGATTCACTGCAACACTTCCACTGACATTTCCACTGTAACAATATTATTTTGATTTTTATTTTTAAAGTCTGTTTGGTGAGTTTGTGTTTGATGTGTGGAAATTAGCTTGAATTGACTCTTTTAGGTGTTGTTTTAAATAACATAGGACTTACCTCCCAAATCCTGCTCAAATTAGCAACCCCAGACTTTGGACCTACACTTCACTCAGTGCTATATGCAAGTGAGAAAAATGAAGACAGGCCTAAGGAGGATTTAGCTGCTTTGTGGATACCAAGCTTTTTATGCAGGGAAGATCTAGCAGTCCACTCATGGGAGCCTGGGCTCCCTGCACACTCTGGCAGCAGTGAGACACCCTGGCGAGATGATCCAGCCCCAGGTGCCATCCTGTGCCCATGCTGGGGAGAAATACTTGGCCTGAGTGGGAGCAAAGCTCTAAGTGTTCTGTTCAAAGTTCCCTGAGTGTTTCTGACCTTAACTTTATACTCATGACCCCAGAGCAGATCCTGTTTCAGATGCCAAAGTCCTGAGTTCAGGGGTATAAAAAGCCACCCAGGTTATCAGGCCAGACGACTGCCCTACCAAACCACTGCCCTATGAGCAAGGGGCCTGAGGAATTCCAGCCATGTAATTCTGAAACTGGTGTTTGCAGGGGCTGGGCTTTCCCCTCCCCCTCTGCTGCCCCATGTCAGCCCAGTGCTGCAGAGGGAAGGGGTGCCCAGGGATCTGTGGGCACTGCACAGGGGTGCTTATTGCAGCAAAGCCCACCTGGAATGGACTGCAGCTGCACAAGAGAAGAGATGAGGAAGGAGAGGACGAGTGTGAACCAGACTCTTCTCCCAGAACACAGGTTAATTGGCTCAGGCATCTAATGCATCCTCGGAGCCCCAACAGAGCTTACAGCTTACTCCATCCCCCCCTGGTTAAGTGGGGATTAACTGCCCCTCACTTCAAAAGCCAGTGGTTCCCAGCCTAGAGCTGCCATATGCTTTCCTTTTTAATGGTGTGAAGGGATTACATGTTATGTTGGATCAATAGCTTGGAGACAAAATTATTGTTGCTATGCAACAAAGTGATTACGAAGGAAAAGGTCTCGTAGATACTTTGATGGCCCAGATGATGGGATGGCAGCTGCCAGCCCCAGTTACTGTGCCCCAAGGAACACAGCTCCTGCAGTCTTAAGAAACCTTGAAACTTCATCAGAAGGGACCAGGGTGTTGAGGGATGAACTCAGAGCTGGGCAGTCCTAGCTGGCTGTTTCTGCAAGATACTGCTTTTATTTGCTTTTCCCTTCTTCTTACTGCAGAAAAATGGCCTCACTGCTTGGGATGCTTCTTGGCTGCCCTGTGGCTGAGTAACCCCCTGGCTAGACTGCTTCCTAGGGCTGAGAACTCCAGGCTTACTGGAAACAGGTGGGCAGGTCCTGGTGGCACAGACAGCAGAGGATTAACAATAGTACAAACCCAGCTAATTCTAAAATCCTGCTGGAATGAATTTACCAGCACCATCTGGCTGTCATTTGATAAGGAATGCAAAGGAGCATTCACCCAGCTATTGATTAAGAGGGAACATTATTCCCCAGGAACAGAATGGCATAGTGGTCAGATTAATGTCATTTACTGCTAACTAGATTGTCATAAATTACACTGTTTGTCAGAAAGAAAGGCTTTGCTGACACAAAATCACGCTTTATATGACTAACCCTATTAAATTAAAACCATGATTTGTTTTTAACAAGAGAATTGTTATTAGTCAAACCCATCCAGAACTGGATTACCCAACTAAGAAGACTTTGCAAAATGGCAGTAAGTCTAACAGCAGTGATAAAATATTTCATGGGCTCAGGGAGCTGTCCTTTGCCACTCCACTCCCCTCTCTCTGACCACGGGATTGATCCCAGACAAACTGGAGGCCTGGTTCAGTCAGATCAGGGGGTTGGGTTCAGGTCTGCTTGTGTTTTCAATCTATTTGGACTGGAAAAGAATAGCAGCCTCAGACCCCACTTTCTACAGGATGGCAGTGCTGTGGACACTGCTGTTCAATGGTAAACAATAAAGGATTTTCTTGATGCTTTAGTAGCACACCTGTCAACTTCTGTTTGTTCTTAATTTGGAGAGTTCAAACAAGGCTGCTGTGCTAAATTTTCCATTTTAGAAACAGAGCTTACAAAGTCTTACAATACTAATTAAAATTGTCAACCTCTGCCTTTGAAGCACTTGATTATTAATAACCTTCACAAATCTTGTGTGTGCAATGAGAGAGGAGTTGTGATTTGCTCCAGACTGCAGACAAAGCAGAGTGGCCTCCTTATTGTTTCTCAGCACACCAGGAGCTCCCTGGCAGGGGTTCCCAGCGTGGCTGGGTGGGAGCAGCACCGGTCCCCAGAGGGGGAACTGCAGGAGGAGAGAAGGTTACGCTCCACAGCCTTGGAGCCCTTCTTATTACTGACATAGTTGAGGGGGAAGAAAGAACTTTTGAGCACATCAACCCTCCCTCATGATCTGGAGACGTGAAACACAGGCCGAGGTGACCCAGTGAGGTGACACGGGCCGAGGGGCAGGACCCTCGGGGAGAAGCCAAATCCCAGCCCTGTGTCCTGTTCCCGTGGTGTTCACATGCCCAGTGTCATGCCCAGTGTCATGCCCAGTGTCATGCCCAGTGTCATCTGGGATGTGAACAGGGCACGGCTCAACCCCAGCCCCACTCTAGAAGGGTTTCAGATGTGCCAGGCTCTTCTGAAAGCAAAGTGTTTTGTGGGCAGAGCAGTGAAGTGCTGTAAGTACAGACCAATCTCCAGCTAATGGGAGCATTTACAAGTGTCCAGACACTCTGCATCCACAACAAAAATGAAGTGTCATTTTGAACTTTCCCCAGTATCCATTACAGATGCTCATTAAGCATATATAAAAACACTGAAAGGAGTTGTTATAAAAAGAACAGTTCTCAAATTCAAAGGTGAAAATGAACAGTTACCACCCTTTACTCTCCTTTCTGTGACTTAGGAGAACAATCCTAGTTACACCAGGATGCAAAGAAAACAAGTGCAAGAGGAAGAACTAGCATATTATTTTTCCTGATTTCTTAATTTTTTCTCAACTGTTTTCTCCCATAATTACCTTGTCCTTGACTTCTCTCCCAGGGTAATAAAATCTCACTTTATATGCACAAATCAAGACTTTGTAATCAAGCTCCCCAATGATACTTATATAAAATAAGACTCTGGGAAACTAAAAAAACCTTGAGAAATATGTTAATTATGTTAGAACAGAAGAGTAAAAATAAAGTAGAAGACTTGGCTGGCTGAACATTTCTTTTGTTTGCTGTCCAATATACTTTGATTATCAAACAGGCAAAAAAAAAATCTCTAATGATCCTGTCCAAGAGTCTTTGTTTCAATGTAAGAGGAAAACAAGTCCCCTTCTGTCCTGAATATTTAGGCCTGTTAGTGTCCTCCTGTGATAATCTTGGGGTTTATAACCCTTCTGTCTAATGTGCAATATATCTAAAAGAAATTAACAATGAATTTTGAGCATACAATGAACAATTATGCATGGAGGATAATCCCACCAAGTATTATGAGAAACAATTTCTCCTGCCTGCCCTCAGTCCTGTAGCAAATCTTGGTTGTCCACCAGGGTCTTTTAAAGTTTGATGTTCTCATCACGATTTTTCCAGAGAAAAACCTTCACAAAACAACATGCCTGAAAAAGGCTCCAGGACCCAAACTTTCTACCTTAGGCAACGTCAGATCTTTGAAAAGACATGTTGCTGCTTCTCCTTCACATGCCTGGCCGTGCCCAAGGAGGGGCTGGTGCACTTCCCTGCTGTTCTGCACTCAACAAAACAAAACCTTCCTCCTGGAAACAGACCCTGGAATCTCATTCAGACCCGTTTTCTTCTTTGATGAGGATGTTCAAAACCTGCTGAAGGTTTGTGCAGGCAGAGCAGTGGGTCGCATTGCAGTGGGTGTGGCAGCTGCTGCCCCGGTAATGGTATGAAGCTGTAAAATCTCCAATTCCCTGCACGGCACTGCAGAGTCACCCAACGGGACTGCTCAGCCCAGACCTGAGATCCTCACTCTTTTATGCTTTAAGACCTTTTGAGAGAGATGATAAGGAGGGGTTTTTTTGCCAAAATGCTTCAGGCATTTAGTTCTGAAAACTAATTTCTGAATTGGGTGCTATGCTAATAATGTATTCCAACCCCAGGCTGCCTGTAATCCCTCACAGACTCTCTCCTCCCTGGTTTCCCATTAGCAGAGCATCTGTCTTCTCACTGCTGTATTGTTTGCTCTCTGCATGGGACCCTTAGTACATGGGATACAACAATGCAAGAAATTCATGGGATCGCATTAAGAGAGGGAGAAAATATCAAATTTGGTTTCATGCAGATGGAGTTTTGTTGTTGTTTTTTTACACACATATTTAAATGCAGCAATTAAAATGAACTGGACAAAATGAGGCCTTCTCAGGCTCAAAGATATGGGAGCCTTATGGCAGGGGACAGGGATTAACTAAAGGAAAACAGTCCAGAACTTTACTCTTCATCTCATTGAGACCCCTTCTTATATCTTGTTGCTTCACTCTGTCTTGCAGAGTGAGCAAACACCACACAGCACTTGACTTCTTGCTTCTGCCCTTCCACTTTGTCATGTCTGAAGGACAAGGGGAGGGCAAGGAGGGACTTCATCTTCTGCACAGAGGTAACAGGTGGTCTGGCCACACACAAAACTCTGCCCAAACCCAGGAATTCAGCTGGGAGAGAACCCTGCCTCGAGCAGTCAAGCATTTTACAGCCTCTGAGAAGGGAA